GTGAATGGAGACTCATTAAACATGGACCGTTTGATTTGTTATTACTTACGAGAACTTAACAACAAACATAAATTACCGAAGCTCACGTATAATGAATATAAAAGCATATATCTTACAAGAACACTCTTCCCAGAACTAGGCACTTATTGGAATTTTTAGTAGTTAGCATGGATTTGAATTCTTAGCCGTAGGTGGTTATCAAGTGAGTAAGTTATCAAGTGAGTAACATATCGTATTCTTACACTACCCTACAATCAGCCCATTCATTCATTCATTCATCCATTATCTCTTGTCCATTGTACAAGGAATCTCCTAGAACAGGTGGCAGACTTTACATACACCGAGGGAAGCTGACGGAGGCTTTACACACCTGAGACATGCAGCCGTCGTATGATCTCATCTCATCCCACGCAACTCGAGCTGGTTTTTCTTTCTTTTTTCTTGTGTGCTGCCCACCGGAGGACTTACCTTGACTTTTTCTTTTTTGTTTCTCCTGGCTGTAGGTGGTGGTATGTAAAGAGGGAGAGGGAGGGGGGGAGGAAGAGGATGAGAGGTACACATGTGGGCAGTGAACGTCGCATTACACACACGCAAGCGCGAGAGACGAGCGCACGGCCTGAACTACATTAGAGGGCTTGATACGGGACCAACGAAAGGGCACCGGTTCGAAGCCGCGGGTGCTCCCGTACCCTAGCAAATGGCGGCACAAGCGCGACGGGAAGGCGCACAGGCGAGATGCCCTCTACGTACGTTTGTGCGCAAGGTAAGTTTTTTTTTCTTTTCTTTTCGCGCGGCTCGACCTGCCACACGGGTAGCTAGTTGGTCCGAGTACGATGTCTCGTGCGCCGAGCTTGTGCTTCTTTCCGCCTGTGCGAGTACGAGGGGCTGGTTGGCCGCCTCGCGGAGGCCTGGGCTGGGTGAAGACTCGAATTTAAGGTGTGCGGGGGCTGGAGAGAGAGAGAGGGGGAAGGAGAGCGAGTCCCATGGATACCGAGCTGTCGAATTTCAAGTTATTTGATATTATCTACCTTGATTCCTGCTTGGATGGAATCGAGGTCCGTGAGTTGGGGAATAAAAGGGAAATCTGGGGTCTTGCCAGATCGTAGCTTTGACCTACCTACGACCATGTAGATGACCCCTCATAGCATGAGGTTCCCCAGGGAGGAGATCTGTGATATCTATCGCGTGGCCTGATAATCTAACATCACATGCAAGACGACCAAGATTCAAAATGTTGATCTCGAGGATACCCAGGGGCGGTTTACCCGGCTGGAATGGGAGCACAGATGTGCAGCAGCCATCTCATCCCTAGATAGGATGGGGAACGAATGACGTGCATATCTATCCCTCACGTAAATTATTGCGAAGACGGGCCGTCTTTTTTCAACGCCGTCACTTTGTTTCAGCGCTTGGTCCAGTTTCACGATGTCGGGGAACCGCCGTCGGGACGAGATGATCCGTGCTTCCGCGTATCGCATGAATAGAATGGAATACTAGGTGCGGGTTAAGGCATATAGTTTCCACGTTTCCGAACCATTCTCTTCCGCGTCTAGGAGCTTTTCTTTTTTCACGTGTCTCTATTCACGTGTCTTCATGCAGCTAGAGTTGTTGAGGTAAGATATATCCGTGCTATGCAGAGGATTACCTTCCTAGTATGTGTTGGTGTAGGTAGCTGTTGACCTAACTTGGGCATTCTGGAAGTGTTCCGGAGGGTCCCGGGTTGACCGGAGCTGGGCCGGACAAGGGCTATTTTCATGCATTACTATGTATATACATGTAAATCAGAAGGTAGAACGCTAGTTAAGGTAGCCAAGCCGAGGATATTGGCATATGTAAATATATGTCCAAGTACGTCATTTAACGACTGAATTATTGTGGCTAGTATTTTATCCCTAAAAAGCCTCAAGGTGCGGTCTCAATATGCGTGAAACTTCGATGAAGATAATAAAATCAGGCCTCCTACGGAATTGACAACGCCACCTGTTTTAATAGGTGTGTTGTCTCTACCGAGAAGATCTGTCGGATCTAACGAATAATTAGCAAGGTACCACCAACCAATAATACGGCGAATTTGTAATTTAGCATTGGTTGTTATAAATCGTAAAAGTGTATGCAGGAACGGTGAGTGGGAGGGTACGTGTAGTAAGTTCATGTGCTGTTTCAGGGGCTGCCCTGCATATTTTATAATCGCATTTGCTTCAGTCTCGCGTTTATTGGGTTGCATAAAAAGCATCGCCGACAATCCTGATGTTTCTTAGGAAGTTGGCAATATCGACAATAGCGCCTACTGTTCTCTAGGAAGTCGTATATGTATTTCTATACCCATTTTAAGGAAGGACAATACAATCCGATCCGAGTGCTAATAATTTGGGTCCTCGACGATAATTTCCGCCGTCAGGACGCGTATGTATTATATGTACGTAAGTGGCCATGCACGCTGCAAGGTACGATGTCGAAGTTGGTAGAAAAGATCTCTCCGGCCGTGGAGCACGCGCAGGGGATGTTCCTGAAGCTCGGGCACCGAAGCCAAGCCATGGGTTCCATTTACTGGGCGTGGAGCACGACGTACCGGTAACGTACCGGTAACGTTCTGATTGCGACGTCGTGTTTTGGGTTGAAGGACCGAGTTTGAAGGGAGGTTCCCCGGCTACCGGTATTGGAGAGATGTGGCTTCGTTTCCAAATGTTTGACTCCGACTGGCGGATTTAAAATCAAGAAAAAAGAGCAGAGGTAATTATTATGATTGTGATAGTGGTAGAGCGATAGAGCGGCAGAGCGGTAGAGCCGGATGCTGTTCTAGGGTGCCCTGGCACTTACATACCTAGGACCACTACGAGCCTAAACAATGCCCAATGCCCAACCGGTTGGTAGACTGCTCCACGAAGCCACGATGTAATAGAAAGCCTATCGGAGTTACGCTTTTCTGGTGATTAGGTGACGGAAGTAGGAATTGGTTGTGTTTGTAAGAAGCAAACAGGTAAAAAGAAGAATCATGATCTAGAAGTATACACTAATTTAGTACGTGGATCTTGTTCGACAAGTGCACGATTTTCGGAATGACTTATGCGATCTCCATGTGTCGTCAGTCGATCAAGCAGAATGGAATCCATTCAATGGATTGTTTAGATTGTTTGGGGCCTCCTTTTTATTTTTTTTTTCTTCTTATTAGAGGGGAATGTGACCATAAGTGGCCACGGCGGGGTGAGGGGCTAAACGGAAGTGGAGGGGCAAACAACCTTGAAAACACGCTCTAAAATGGTGGGCTAGTGGGTAGCTAAACTTAAAGGATTTAAGTACCATGCACTTATTAGAACAGATTGTTATGCGATGCGATAATCGGTTGCGGTTGCGGTTGCGTAGCGGACATTTAACTTGGAGACTCTTCTTTTGTCATATTAAACCTCGTCACTTTTCATCTCTTCCATATTCTATAGTTACACGTTATATATTATAGTTATATTATTACTAATATTATATAGTTAATAATAAATCTCACATATTCATTTCGTATCTGCTTATATTCCAGCCACTTATGATAATATGACTTATTCTTCATCTTACATTTACTGAATTACAGGGCTAACACGCGCTAAGGTTGTCTTCTATGTAGCAGTACCCGGCAGTCTAGGTCGCCCTAGCTCTTTCATGTAGTCGGATCTTTTTGAAAGCACTCCACTATCCATGCATGAAAGTTCTTTCGAACATTGAATTCTCCCTTGTCCCGTTTGGGTCACGGTAGGTACGTACCTTTGCCTATGCTGCTCCTGCTCCTGCTTGTATAGTAGGCATGGACGTGAATGGCATGCAGGCTATCCGCCCGTCCAAAATGCATTGAAGGGCAGGCATGTCCGTCAAGGGCCACTTATAACCCATGGCGCACACACCTACAAGCAATCCACAACTCAGCCTACCCAATCTGCTAACGCCCGACTTAATTTATCCCACTTTTTCAACGTTTCCACCTTGTTCTCCCAGCCAGTCACTCCAACCCACCCCATCCCAGTTAAGCGCAAAGCAAGTCAGTCATTCTCAAATCTAGCCAGTCTTGTTCCTCTCCTCCTCATCTTCTGTCCTCCTGACCTTACTCAATCTCCAAAAGATAACCTGTCGACAACTTCTTGCATTCCACTACAGGAAGATAGGGCGACGACTGGACCGACGATAGCAGAAAACACGATTACAAGCATTAACGCCGGAGCCAAGTGAATAACGTGCGTGTCTGCCACGCATATTAACCAGCAAAACAATTAATATCCGACCCACTATTGTGACTGCTGGAAGGAGATAAAGAAACGGCGAATCCGTGAAAGAAAGAAATAGCGAAAAGGCCATCCCAGGGTAGGCAGTGCTATTGACTACAATCGGCTCAGGATAAGGAAACAATCGCGATCGTTCCTCTTTTTTTCACTGCTTATTTGTTCGATATCGACTGGCCGACAAGTAGGCAAGCTTGAAAAAAAAAAGAAATTAAGAAAAAATAAGGAATCCTTACCTAGGTAACTTTCGAGGATTCAGTTTATTTTTCCCTCTCCATTGCGTTGCGAAAGGTCTCACCTTGACGCACCTCAACTGCTCGATCCCACCGGCTGAACTCCCGCGACTATTATCGCTTCATTGCGATTACACGTTGTCGCACTGATTCAGACTCGCTGTCAAACAGGACCGCGAGATTCCGCTGCTTTCGCGTAACCGTACCTGAACCTCGGGGATAGCCCAGTCTGCCATTTCTGGCCTGCGCCCATTCCTTCGTGGATCCTCCTTTGCCGCCTCCGCCTCCTTCTGCTTGACTTCGCAATCCACAAGCTTCCGAATCTGTACAACGATGAAGGTGCGCCATTAAACCTAAGAACCCCTCCTCTGTTTGTCTTGATTTCGTTGCATGATTACCTTTCCCTTCTACTAAACATGCCTTTAAACGTGCCTGGCCATCGGTCGCAATCATGTCGCGTTCCAATCTACATGGCGACTTGGTCGCATCCGTCAATGCCGTGGCTAACGTTATGCGCTCTATTCAGGCTCTGAGAAGGTCAATCAAAGGCGAAAAGGATAGGCCTCAGGTCTCCATCGCTCCAAAGTCCGCAGTTGCCATTGTTCCCCCAAAAAAGGTTGGCGATATTCGCTCCTGTCCCATGCCTCCTCTTGTTTTCTTTTCTTCAATTCTCATTTATTTCTTGGCCCACTTTTGTCACATCGGACACGATGCTAATGCCCGAAACATCCATAGGTCATTCGAGCTCTTTATGATTATGAGGCAACCACTGCCCAGGAACTGAGCTTCTCGAGGGGTGATTTCTTTCATGTTATCGGCCGCGAAAACGACTCGGATTGGTATGAGGCATGCAACCCAGCGCTTCCTGACGCTCGAGGTCTAGTTCCGGTAGCTTTCTTCCAAGCCCTTGGGCGTACCGAAAGAGATAGTGGGTCATCAGACCCGGGTCGCCCGTTGACCTTGAAGAAGGACGACCACGATTCCGGATTCTCCGAGACCAACGTGTCGACTATACCTCCTACACCGGCGTTGAGTCAGCGCAGTTCTAAGTCGGGTACTAAAAACGGAGCCATGGTTTATGGAATTGTGATGTACGACTTTCAGGCGGAGAGGGCGGACGAACTGGAAGCGAAAGCTGGCGAGGCAATCATAGTGATCGCGCAATCCAATCCCGAGTGGTTTGTCGCAAAACCGATCGGTCGCCTAGGAGGCCCCGGCCTCATTCCCGTTTCGTTCGTAGAAATTCGAGATATGTCGACGGACACGGCCGTTCCGAATCCCCACGAGGCTGTGAAACGCGCCGGTGTTCCTAAGGTGGAAGAGTGGAAGAAGATGGCAGCCGATTACAAGAATAGTAGCATCACGTTAGGCAAATTTGAAGCTGGTGGTCAACCGGGTCTGGAACAGGGCATGGAACGGATGAGCTTGCAGCCGGGTCCCAATCGCCAGAGCCAACAGCAAAACCCTTCACTCGTAAGTAATCGTTGATTACTCCACGTGCGCATCGGGACGTACTGACATAATTCAGCAGCAACAGCAGTTTAATGGATATCAGCAGCAAGCCCAACAGCAACCCCAAAATGCCGTGCAACAGAATCAGGACGCTTCAAAATCAACTTCACAATTATACGCACCTATATCAGCCCGGATACCGCGATACTGCTTTGCAGAGGACAAATATTGGTTTGTGATCGAGGCAACCTTAGAAGACGGCCGGCACTGGGAGCTTTCGCGTTATTACGAAGACTTCTACGATTTCCAAATCGCCCTTCTGACCGAGTTCCCCGCCGAAGCTGGAAATACCGGCACGCATAAGCGCACATTACCGTATATGCCCGGTCCTGTTAATTACGTGACCGACGCAATTACGGAAGGACGACTACACAATCTGGATGCATACGTAAAGAACTTATTGGGACAGCCGCCATATATCTCGAAGTGCAACTTGGTAAAACAGTTCTTTGCCCCGAGAGAGGGAGATTACGAGATGGAGCCGAACGGCGACGAATACAGGCTGTCCGGAGGATCCCGCTCATCAGTTGATTCACCAAGAGATGATCACTCGCGGCAGTCGTCAAGAAACAATCTAAACGGGAATGGATATTCTGGGTTATCGGCGGCCCCAAGACAGATGCAAAATGGTCAGCCGCAGATGACTCGACAAGCGTCGTCGCTTTCCCAACCCTCACAAACCTCATTATCACCAGGGATCAGCCAAGGAGGGCCATCTCTCAAGGTCAAATTACATTTCAACGACGACACGTTTTTAATACGTGTACCATCTGATACCAACTTTCAACAATTATACGAAAGAATTAGAGAACGAACCAAGGTTTCCAGCGGAGACCAAATCCAGCTCTTCTACCGAGACGAGCAGAGTGGTGACAAGCTTAGTCTCCTGAGCAACAACGATCTTAACTATGCTCTAGAGCATAACGAAAAGCTGGTTGTTTTTGTTGAACAGGTATAAGGCTCTTAAGGATCGGTCGATACCCCCTGAATATTTCCATATACAATATACCCAATGCGCTTCGTTCTACTAGCATTTACACCCGACAATTCAGCAGCTGCTTTCGAATTGGATGCAGGATTTATCCCAAACCCTCCAGCGACCCTTAGCCGTGCCTACCCTAACATATCTACCCAGACCTACAGCGCACGAGTTCTATCCGTGTTCTTGGAATAAGTAGCAATAGTCTACGTTATAGTGGTTAGAGTAGTGTCGTCTAGTGGTACGCGCATTCGCTTAAGGTAGTTGAATGACTGAATGGTTCGAGATGAGTTACTCTTACTGCGACTGTCTAATACCGTTTTCTATGTCATAATCCCTCACCCACAAGGATCTTTTTTCTTTCTAAAATCTTCAAAATTCTTTCCTTTCAGCACCGAGCCGGATCGAAGAGGGTATTTATAGGTTAGCCTTTCTTCTATTTTTTATACGGTATACCTTACGGTTTGGCGTGGACACGGTTGCTTTTTCTTACGGGCACAAATTTATTCGGGCTTTTTATTCTTCTATATTTACAGCTTCTGAACTTCTTTTTATTAACCCTTCCCCCGAGTGTTATCTACTGGACGCGGAGATGGATAAATGAGGAAATGGGATAATGGAATAGGCGATGGGTCGGAGCTATTAGGTGACCAAAAGACGTCCAGTAGAACCTGGGGAGGAGGGCATGTCGTAGGACATTTACTCTTGAGGACATGGGGAAACTACATGCAACCCCTTGGGCAGATGAATGAGGTGGCCGGGGCCCGGGGATCTAGGTAGCGGAGAGACATGAAGTAACGCTAATGTTTGCTTCCTGCCTCGAGACGCGTCGACGATAGCTCTAAAGAACGAATAAAATGAACGTTAAATGATATTTGTTTCTTGCTCTCGGTTGTGGTGATGGTATTGGCTAATCAAGGAGGTTACATGATTTAACTATGTCTCTTCGCGACCTAGTTTCAGGCCCTGATTCAGTATTAATAGCCTCTCCCTAATATATATACTTGTATATACATACTTGTAGGTGAATATTCTTTTCATCGATTCAAAAGATGCTAGCTGTTAGCTACTTACCTCGCAAATGCCTTATAACCGCTTCACACATATCAAAATCGAGAATCATCAAATCATTTTAAACGTAAAATATTGCTCATAACCGGTGCGTCTAGGCAAAATGCGAGGTGAATCCTTTTGGTCCTGCTTAATTGCACATTTTACCTTCAGGCTGAGGAGGCTACGCTCATGTTCTTGTATGGCGATATTTCTGTGCTAGGTTTATCTATTCTAATGTCCGGTGAGGTGAGCATTCTTGATAACGGTGTAGCGAGTTATGCATGGCTAATCCCTTATACCCACCTTATGTCTTATCTACAGTAGTGTTTATCAGGTACGTGACTAAGGGCGCATGTCCTAACTGAGGGTCCGTTCGGTGTACCTTGACGGTGATTGCATAGGAAATAGCGCTCTGAGCGTTGGAAGATTTAAGCATAAAGTCGTTCAATGCAATGTATGCACAGACCATTCGATTTTTATGCCCTATAATTCTGTAGACCCATATATCGATTGGATAAAAAGAGCAGTTGGCCCCTGCACCCCTCCCACCTGCTGCGGTTGCTTGCACAAAAAAACCTCTCAAACCACAAAACTTCGCGCCCCGATTTCTTCTTCTTTCATTAACCCCCTTTACATCCAAAACCCGGGTTGTGCTTCGTTTACAGGATTAGCCGGCGAATTTCATTGAATCAATTGAGAAATTCACATCATCAACCCTTCTAAAAGCTGACTACCGATCTATCCAACATGTCGGACGTTCCCGCTGTCCCCGACGTCCCGGACACTCCTACGGGCGCGACCACGCCAAAGGAGCGACATTCTCTCACCCTTGATCAGCGTCGCGCTCTTCGTCGTTGGGCACACTCCCAAACTACCCGACCCTCCCACAAAGCCTGCATCGAATGGTTCTACAGCCAGTACGGTCAGAATATTAGCCAGAGCACTATCAGTCACTCGTTATCGCCCAAATACGCGCGTCTCGACAACGATAATCAATTTAGTGGTTCGCGTCTGCGATTTGGTAATTGGCCTGACGTAGAGAAGCTTGTTCTTTTATGGCACAGCCAAGTCGTCGCCTCTGGTCGCAACCCTTCTAACGAGGAACTTGCTGAGAAAGCAAAATCTATCTTCCAGCAACTGCCCCGTTACAAGGACGAAACTCCTCCAGAGTTCTCTCCCGGCTGGATTCATCGCTTTAAGAAGCGTTACGGCCTACTCATTCGACGCCAACGCCGCCATGGCAATGCTTCTAATCCTGCTGATGATATCCCCTACCTCATCGACGCTGTTCCCCGTTTCATGAACATCAGTGCAGAGACCAGCCCTGCTGCCATTCGCGACGCAGTTCTTCGCGTCGTCGGCGTCGAAGCTAGCCTCTCGACCTGTGCTCAAGTTCGTGACGAAGTCGTCCGTCGCCTCGAGAACCCCTCCCCGGCCCCTCTCCCCACCCTTGCCGGCGCAACTATCAACCCTGCCGAGCCCAATGCCTTTGCAGGTACCGAAGACCCTGAGGTGGTACTCCAGAACGCCCTACGTGCCATGCAGCAAGAAGAAGAGGACGCCGAGGCGGAGGCTGCTGCCGTTCGTGAGCAGCGCGAGCGACAAGAACAGGGTCTCCCTCCTATTGCGCCCAGCCTGCAAACACCTGTACCTCAACAGCGAAATAGCGCACGCTTCACTCCTGCCGGACCTGAGGATCCCGCCTTAACCTTGACTCCCATCTCAAGCGGCAACGCCCTGGGTGGTGCCGATCGTCCTATACGATGCCCCTTCTGCGTCAACCAGCGCATGCTTCGAAGTATTAAAGAGGCAGTGGAACACATGAGCACTCACGTCGTCGTTTAGGAAGACAATGTCTTTTAGGAAGGCAATAATTATATGAAGTATCGTCAGCATTATCAAGCCTATCAGCATGTTCCATTGGCATTATTATATCCCAGGTTGGGAGGTCCTTTGTGACTACATTTCAGAACGGGAATCTTTGTCTGTACAACTATGACCAAAGTCACGAAATCGGGGGCTATGAGGCGTTAGGGATTATTCTTTGCCTGTTTTCTTGTCGCGTAGGACGAGGCGGGCCTACATGATACGCAATCACACCGACATGCAACCCGCACACAAAGATCCGAAGGCCTACGCTCGTTATAGGGTACGGAGGGGATATGGCACATTTGGCGTTCGGCTTGTCATTTTGGCGGCTCAAAAGGTGGTGCTTGCTTCTATTTTCTTTTATTACACGCTCTGCTCGTGCGCATAACTAAGGTGGTGACAGTGGTTGGAGGTTGAAAGTGGGATAGGTATCTCGAAAGGAGACCGCGGGCAGGGCGTGTGCATCATCACCGGTTCGGATAGGCTTTAATACCATTTGATTTATGCTTCTTACACTTTATGCTTTTGAGATTCTTTGATGCTTGCTCTATGTTCTTTTTGACTTCCTACATGTAGTTTAGGCGTTTATTATTCTTACCTGGTGAGGAGTGCATTACCCACCTGCATACGTACCTAGATAGGTATGCCCAACTTGCGTGATGATCCTCTTAGGGTAGGGTACCAAAGACCTGGGAGCTCTAATGGTGAGGTTGGTTTAATGAATATTCAATATTATCATTTTTTCTCTTGCGCATGGCTTACAAGTTAGGTACATGCACTTAATAATCAACCCCAACCTATAGTACCTCTTAACAGCAATGCGCTACTGCTTAATGTAAAATGTATGTAAGATCAAAGCTATGCATGCTATAGCGGCTTTAGGTATTCTCTTCATTTCTATTATAATTTAATTTAAATACGTACACTTGATAATATGTCCAAGTTCCTCTTCTCGATGGCCTCAACATCATTACACATCGAGGCAACTCCAAATCCACCAAACTACCTATCTCTAACTCAAACAACGCCGCCCGTTCGTGTATGGTATATGTGTAGTGTATAGGTCCCATAAAACAAGCAACCAACCTGACCCCCATCTTCCCCGTTAAACCGATGCCGCCATAGCCGCGACATATATGCAAGTCTACCCCCGAAACGCCCCAAACACCAAACATGCAAGCCGCAACACCCCACCAAACACCCGCCTAGCCAGTATAGGATCGTAAGTAGTTTCGTCATAATACCTGAGCCATCCCCCCTTTACCCCTATCCAGCCAAATGTAGAACTCCTGTATTCCGTGATGTTGTGTTGCGTAGTGTAATATCGTGTCGTAAGGTGATCAAAAAAAAAGTAATTATCCAATTCTTAACGAATAGGAGGGGAAAAAAAAAAGACATTATATACGTATGCACGTCTGCAACAAGCTAATAATTGCCGCCTCTATTACACCCACATCAAATTCCTCCCCCGCTGCCGATTCTGCTGCCACAACGGCCTATTCCCCGTGCCATCGCCCCTAGGAGGACTCCGGCTTCCGCCTGGAGACTCGGCGCCGGAGCGCCGTGCTCCACCGTCGGTAAGTGGCTGCCGGACCTCGTCGAGCTCCCGGGTGCCGATGGCCGCGCTCATATACGCGCGTGAGAAGTCGTCGATCTCGGACGGCGTGGGGCCTCGGCGGATACTAGGGTCGGATTCGCTGGCGCTGTCCTGGTCGTACGGGTTCTCTTCTTCCGCGACGGGGGTAAGCCCTGTTCCTACACCCATAGGGGGAACTAGGCGTACTGTGGGAGGGTGATAGCGTAACGGCTGGGAAAAACCACGGTTTATTGGCGCAGTCCTTGCAGGTGGCATGCCGGATTCTGCTTTAGGTGGCGGCGGCTCGGGGAGCGCGCGGTACGGTTGGCTAGTGTATTGAGTTAGGGGTCTCCTGTCTTCCTCTTCGTCTTGCCACGAGGGGAGAGGCGCAAACGCAGCGCCGTGATTTTTTGGACTGTACGAAAGGTTAGCTAGACCCTTAGTATGTAGTGCAAACCAGAGGCTCACCTGATATATTCTGTCCTGGGCGGCGCGTTTGTTGGTAAAGGCCCAGGACCTTCGCGGTTGTTACCACGCCGCTTCCGCAGGAAGAAGAGGACTATGGCGACAATTATCGCTATTAGAATAGCGGCTCCGCTGATGGAACCCCCGATAATAGCCCCCCTATTAGTCCCACTAGCTCCGGCTGCCGCCGTGGGCGAACTGGAATCGGTGGGTTCTCCGGCACCAAATGAGGATGTTATACTCGGCCACGTATTTGTGCTGGTGGTCGATGAAGGCGATGTTGTTGATGAAAACGAAGATGTAAGCGAAGATGATGTAGATATTGAAGATGTTGAAGATCTTGGCGACGATGGAGAGGATGTAAACCAAGATGAGGTTTGTGATAAGTCGGATACGGAGGATGTAAGCAAAGATGAGGGTTGTGACAAGGAGGACGCGGAGGATGGCGGTGACAGTGAAGGCGAAGATTCAGAGGCTTCAGAGACAGACGAAGGGTCTGTTGTAACTGAGGGTGTTTGTGACGTTGGTGACGTTGGTGATGCTGTATCAGACGCACTAGGGCTGGGGTCCTCAGTCGCACTCGAAGGTGTATCAGACCCACTAGGAGGAGGATCCGGGCTAGGGTCCTCCGTCGCACTTGAAGGCTGGGACCCGATGGAAGTAGGCTCGGGAAGGATTGACGGCGATGCCGTTAACGATACTGATGTCTCTTCGAACACCAAGCTTGTCATGCCATCGACGGATGTTTCGACAGTAGTACCCAGTGACGATGCGGTTCCGCAACCAAACTGGTAATACCCGCCAGCAAAGTTATTCCTGTAGCACACGTCCGACCCTTGGCACGTATACACATAAGGATTGATTTCGGTTTGCAGATCGCTGTTCCGGTCCACGCAACCAGTGAATATACCCGTCGAGCAAGTTCCGCCGTCCGGGCAGCAGCCCACCACACCATGATCCTGTTCCAATACGCAATGGGACCCTGCCAGGCATGTCGCAGGTAGGTTTGGATTACCCCCGATAAAGCCGCATACTGTGTTCTGTCCCTGCCTTCGTAACAAGTCGGATAGTAAGACTGGAGCTTCCGTTGGCCGCGGAAAAGGAACGACATTCAACTCGTGAAGCTCAACAGTCTTCGTCTGTCTGGGCAGCAAATGACTATTTGTCAACCCAAATACCATACTGATAAGGAGAGCAGCAGTAGACGGCGGAAGGCGTAGAAAGCCGGCGCTGAATACTGAGCAAGCCATGATTCGAATCCAGGATCAGACGACCGGCCAAGTTGGGATCGTGAGAGAATATGGGTAAGTTTCAACCCAAATTAGCATCAAGATCGAGAAGGAACAAGAAAAATGGATGTCGATGAGAAGAGTCTTCTTTAAAGTAAAAAGAGGCGAAGGCAGGCAAGGTAGCAGTCAACTGCTGCACATGCGCGACCAGGGTGTTGCACAACAAGGCTGAGACCTGCTCAAGATTGCTTCTTGTCTGCACGATCTAGAAATAGGTACCTATAGCGCCGTGCTGTCTTACTGCATCTAGCAGCGGTTCCTATCCATAGCACAGGCGGCATAAGTCTTGTAAGCTGTGCAAGAAAAAGGGTTGGATGAAAATAAAATAAGAATATTGCGTTCTGGTTATCTGATACTTAGTGATGGGATGGGAATATTGAAACATTCTCTCCGATCTTTTGAAGAATGCCTATCAACGGTAATATTGTGGCAGAAGGATTGCCACCGGCAGAATCAAGTTCCCTCTGTGTTCGCTAACACGCCAACACAATATACCAGCGATCGGCGCATCTGTGGAAAAGCCAATCGGTCCCAGGGTTCTTCGCTACATGCCGCCGGACCCTGGGTCCTGGCGCCAGGTAGTTTATGGGGAAGGCTATGACGAATCATAAAGTGTATATTTGCTAAAATAGCTTTTTATAGACATGTCTGGCCAATTAAGGTGGGTAGATGTGGTAGAATGCACACAGCCACGGGCGGGAAGACGATGAATGGCTCCAGGGGTGGCAGGACCGCAGGGGTGCTGCCCACCCTTCAACGTCTTCGGTAAGATCTTTTTTGTGGTCTAGATTTTACCCTGTAGAAGTGGGCGTGCTAGGTAAATCAATGACATAGTGACTGTAACCCTGAGGAACGCACCCCGGATAGTTGCCGTCGTCACGCTTTCTATGCGATTGAGCACCTCGGTCTTCGCTTCCGCGACCAAGAAAACGGCATTCAAGTGTAGTAACTGTGCAGCTTCGGTGTTTGTTTAGATGACAAAAAGTGAAATAAGGTGTACCTGTGATGCCGACCGAACGGTACGAGAGGCTGTTCCGGGCTGTTAGTTACCGCATACCTGCATCTCGGTCTCCCATTAAGAGTCAATTTGGCTGCGAGAACCGAAGAAACTTGGGATTCCGGTTGATGCAACCTAAATCGGGTTGAGGCCTTCTGAGCAACTTTATCTTGAACCAGCTACCTGGGCACAACGTCTGGAGTCTCCCAGGGCGTTAGACTGAGTATACTAAGCCACTTAGTATAATGCAAGCAGATCATAAGATGCCTTTGTACCTGCATGGATTTAGTGGTACTTGATAGCAATAATATAGTAGAGGAATCCCGTCGTGGATAGCATCTAGTTGCTAACAGCGAGAATCAATGCACTCCGATCCGTTCTCTCCCTTCGTGGCCCATCTATTTAGGAGTGGAACATGCGTTTTCTAGAGCCTATCGAGGGCCCACGCAATGATCCAGTTACCGTATTGTATACCATGCGTACATGGCGGTTATTTCAGCGTTTTCCTGGCTATCAGCGCAGCTAAACGCCGCTGCTTGTGAACTTTGAGCATAGTGTGGTACAGCGAGGTGGAGCGAAAATTCGGTGGGCCTTCGCGGATGTCCATTGGAGAAGAAAGAAACAAGGTCAACCGTGTTCGTGGTCGTAAGTGACTACTACTATGTAAGTCGATCAATTATCCGATTAGACGATAATCCATCCAGATGGGCGGCAGACAAGACAAGACCCTGCAGACTGACGCTACTACATATGGAATAAGCGGTGATGGATAATGGGATATGGATACGAAGAATTCTGAATCTAGCGTCTTAAACCATTGGCTATCTGTAAACGAGTCTGAGGGATGCGGTCATTTTTTGTTTGGTAAGGTAGTTGTTGTTACAACTTGGAAAATTGCTATTCGTTAGTTAAAGGCGGAAATATTAACCGAAATATAGTTGTCGCTTCTATTACGAGTTACCTTGGGGAGTTAACTATAAAAAATGTAAAGTGTTACAATGTAAAACAGGATTAGAGATTCATGATTTCGGGGTAACGAATCTGCGAAGTTCAGCACCGCCACAGATCTATAAGCGATTCGTGGCAAGTGTGGCAATGAGCCTCGAAGATACTAGAATACATAGTGAGGTAACTCTGCAGGGATATGCATACTTCCATTTATCGAACCAACGACATTTCACCTGATCACCAGGTGAAGTTAAACTTACCTGCTTACATAGCTTAAAGGTTTTTGCGGCACGATACCCGGTTTTGCGGGGAGCTTGAAGGATGCTAAATTTTAGCTACAGTTGACCCCATCGTGAAAGCGCTTAGATAGTGTATCTCCCTTTCTACGAACGTGATGAGATATGACGAACGGGGCCGTTAGGTCATGTCTTGATCCCGCAACCACTCCCGTACCCAGTTTAACCTCCGCATTTTTGCCCTTAGAAACGTATCGTCGTAACACTTACACTCTTTCTACACATTAATATTTTTCAGACTTTCTGCAAACCGGGCTCGTATATAATTATAATGAACTTTTATCGTTTATACGTGTAAAGGGGTCGATTTAAAGCATCTATTTACGATGCCAATTCGCGTCAAGTCGCGTCCCGCGAAGTCCCCGGAGCGTTCCTCGTCACCCCCCTCTGTCCCCACCACTGATATTCCCCTCCCTGATATCCGCCATGAAGATAGCTTCCGCGATGTCATTAAGAAGCTTTCCAAGTAGGACGATTCTACTCGGCAACTCACTTTAGGCCCATACTGATCAGTGCTGTAGATATATAGCTAGAGTAGTTTATTTGCCAAGCTCCTTCGAACAACTGAGGACCACATCGGCTGGTGACGATCTACACGCCCTTGTTGACTATCTTAGCACCCGTGTCACCAATCCCGCAATCGTAAACGCTTTACTGTGAGATACTTCATTAATATGGGTTTTAACCACCATGTCTAAGATTATTTCCTTATTCAATTACTTAATCGTTACTAAGCCTTCACGACGGTGACGCATTGTAATGATGGAAACTCATATAGGCGACCACTTCACGAGCCATAGAATCGTTGCTAATAAAAACATAGGGCACTGAGATGGCATTACAGCTCGATAGGCGACGATGGCCGAGGAATCAATGAAGCTCGTGCAAATGCTTGCGAGATTGTTGCCTGGAGATTTTTAACTCGTCTATCGGAGCGGGAAGCCGTCGAGTTTTGCCTCTACGAGATCCCAGACCCAGATGATAGCGAAAGAGAAAGATACCTTGCCAATGAGCCTGCAGATGGTGGTGAAAGCCATGAGCGAAGATCTCTACTACGCCGACCTTCTAGATCTCCCTCGCCAGACCGCCGCTCGGACGATCGCTTTAAGACTGTGAGACGAAACCAATTGCTTCAATCACTCTCGAAAATGACTACGAATCGAGAGTCTGGTGATCTTGAAGAACTGGAAATTGATCCTACTGAACCTTTTACGCATCTCAATGGCCTAGAAATAGCGGCCATTGCTAACGCAAAGAGGTTTCTTAGCCAGCACGTGGTACAGAAGATCATCACAGGCATTTGGAACGGCTCCATTATCTTCTGGGACCAACTTTCAGTCCATTCGAGAAAGAAAACTCAGTTTTATAACCCTCGCACAGCCGATCCCTTTTCACGACTTCGAGTGCCCATATACCTCAAAGCTTACGAGGTTGCGTTTTTCGCTGGGTTTTTAATGTTATACTACAGCGTGTTGATCAAGCAGAATCACCACGCTATTACCCCTCTAGAAGTAGTACTCTACATCTGGTTCGCCGCCTTCTTCTACGATGAAGTTAGCGAATATATCGATGCCGGGTCGATTTTTTATGCTGCAGATGTTTGGAATCTATTTGACATGATTATGATTGCCATCGGGCTCGTCTTTGCGATTTTGAGTAAGCATATGATACTCTTCGGTTTCAGTTGGACGTAAATTGCAATGTGCTAATCTTTGGTGACAGGGTTCGTTGGATTATATTGGGCCGATTATACTCTTGTAGATATTGGCTTTGACGTCTTATCACTGGAGGCCCTCTTCATGGTACCTAGGGTTTGCTCGATATTTAGTCTGTCCCCGTACTGGGGTACTCTAATCCCCTGTCTCAAGGAGATGGGCAAGGACTTCTTGAAATTCATGCTTTTGGTAATCATTGTATATTTGGGGTTTTTATCAACCTTTTGTCTCGTCGGGAGGGATACATACCCATTTCAACACATGGCCATGATCGTGACCAAGATCTTTTTCGGGTCTAGTTACGTTGGGTTTGATATTATGGATGAAATCGACCCCATCTTTGGTATTTCTTCCCTTCCCACTCGACCGGCGTATCTCTTCTAACCTTTCATCTAGGACCTCCTCTCATGTTTATTTTTGTCACGCTGAGTTCGATCTTACTTATGGGCTCCCTGACGGGTATGCTCAGTAATAGTTTCTCAAGAGTCATTACGCACGCTCGTGAAGAGTATCTCTACGTCTACAGCGTATACGTACTCGAGGCATCAACGAGCAATAGGCTCACTCACTTTTACCGTAGGTGTTCCCTCTTCGTACGCCCGTATGCGCCGTGCTAACCTGAGTAACCAGCTCCGTTTAATCTCATCGCGCTGGTAATCTTCAGGCCGTTGCGCCTATTCCTACCCTCAGACGATAAATTCCGGCAAGCACGCATTATACTTCTCCGAGCAACCCACGCACCCATCGTCGGGGTTATTCGGTTATATGAGTGGTTTACCGGCAAACTCAACCCCGACGGTTTCGACAACTTCCGCGGCCCACGACAGGATTCTTCCAGCCCACGACAGAATTCTCCCAAACGGCACGCCGCACCGCCCCCTGATAGACCAGGGGATAGACCAGGGGATAGGCAAGGGGATAGGCAAGGGGATGGGCAAGGGGATAGGCAAGGGGATAGGCCAGAGAGCGGACCGCAATCGGCAGATCGGCCAACACCGCGCGATACTACTAGTGTGGAAGTGGTTCCTAAGACGAGGCCTCAGCAGCAAGTCCTTGAGGATTATGCTGGACATGCGCCTAACGATGTGGAGGTTCGAATCTCAGAGTTGGCAGCGAAGATTGATCGGCTTACGGCTTTGATTGTTTCGTTACACAGCGGCGCCGGTATCGAAACGGGCCAACATGGCCAACATGATTAAGTCTATGGCACATTCATTGCATGTGAATAACGTTGCTAGGAACCCTCCGCCAAAGAGGTGAAATCGCCAAGGAGTGATGAATATCGTATAGACTACCTAACGTATAAACTCCGTCTTGTGCCTATATGGCTGTTTGAATCACTATCTAGAATTGCTAGCTGGTTTAATGGGGGTTGCCTTTACATCTTTCGAAAGCATAGCACGCTGAGCATATCGTGAGCGTAACGGGGCGTACTAACTTGGTATATATCCTAGGAGTAGCCTAACCGCTTAGCTCGAATACGCACGTAACTGGTATGAATCGTCCTCTCTTCTAGGGACTATAGCCAATGAGTGTATTCGAACTTCTAACGCTGAAATTAGTGGCCCCCCCGCGCCCTTTACGGATCTATAACGGACTTTATAATAATACCATCATCTCCACACTCTTAATAGGCAGCTTATTAGCGCGCCCACCTATAAGAACTCGCGAGCTCTTCCGAAAGCGGCAATTCTCTTAATCCTGACTCAGCTCTTCGAAGCCAACTTTGGCATCAACTCTTATTTTACAAAAGATTCATCGGACGTGCGTTGGTATGTGGCTAGCCAATCAGAGGCCATATGTATTTGCGGCATGAGTTTTACGCATGATTCCCCCCTCCTTTCCTCTTTCCCCCGTACGCCCTTGCGCGGACGGGCAACGCAGCTAGTATAAGGATACCTACCTACTTAGGAGGAACATAACTTATATTATCCAATTTCTAAATAGTATAAGAAAAGCTGCTTATTACCTATACTCCGAGGGTGAGTATCAAATAGGTTACTTGAGGTGCCCAGGAAGTGGAAAATGGCTCTCCAATTCGTCACCCTCGACGTCTTCACGTCCCAACGGCTTCAAGGCAACCCCCTCGCCGTAGTCACCGTCCCGGCGGCGCTCAAAGAAAGCCTTACACAAGCCACCAAGCAGAATATCGCGCGGGAGTTCAATCTCTCGGAGACGGTATTCCTGCACGAAGCAGCAGAGTCGGACACCGGGAGCGAAGAGCGCCATATAGATATCTTCACTATCGGGCGCGAGATCCCGTTTGCCGGCCACCCGACCATCGGCACCGCGGTGCTGGTGAAATATCACCTGCACCCGCACGTGCAGATTCTCATCACGAAAGCCGGTCCTATTGGCATTGTTCCGCAGCCGGCGAACCATATCCGCGCTAAGATCCCGCACGACGTGCACCTGCACTCGCGGACGCTCGCGGACGTCGTCGGCGCCGCAGCAGCAGGGCTCTCGCCCGACCCGCAGATCCGGGAGGCGGAGCTGCGGGCCCCGGTATTCAGCATCGTCAAGGGCATGACGTTTGTGCTGGTGAAACTGCCGTCGCTGGAACTGCTCTCGCGCGTTGGCGCGGGGAACAGGCTTGATTTCGATGGCTTGCCTAAACCGTTGTTGGACGAGGGGCCCTGGGGGGATAGTTTCGTCAGTCGGTATTATTACGTGGATGTGGGCGAGGAGGAGGGGGAGGAGGAAGGCGTCAGGGCTATCCGCGCGCGGATGGTGGAGTTGGGGTTCGAGGACCCGGCTACGGGGAGCGCGGCGGCGGCGCTTGCGGCGTATCTTACGCTAAGAGAAGAGAAGACGGGGAGGAAGTTTAGGGTTACGCAGGGGGTGGAGATAGGGCGGAAGAGCGATATTAGTGTTGAGACTACGACGAAGGGGGGTGCTGAGGGGGAGGTTGGGTTGGTGGATTTATGGCTGGGTGGGACGGCGGTTGTGGTGATGAAGGGGACTTTGACGCTTGATGGGTTTGCCTGAGTGATGCGTTAGTGATACTTAGGTAGTTGTTATACTATAGACTTTGGATAGTCTATTAATAGGCGATAGTTATAGCTTACTTTAAGTTCAAGTCTACTAAGACACAAATGATAGTTATATTAAGATTATCTATGGTTATAGAAGAGGTAACTAATACACAATGCTACCTAGTCAGTCAGTTAGCGTGGGTATCCAATGCCTCGAACTTTCGATTTTGGGTATAACGATTTATCTTCTTAACATCAACTGGGTATAAGTTTATACAACTCTTCGGAACATTATATGTCGTGAGAGATAACTTTTGACTCGACGGCTGATACGGCCACGCCTATAGTCTTTGATCTTACTCTACCTTTCTCTCTTGCGTCATCTCCCTTTTCGTGACTCGCATCTTCATTTCGGACATGAGGAAGAATCCCGAATTTATAATCTCTACCGGGCTTTGCGGGGTGACGATGGAGAAGTCGAAGCGTCGGAGTAACTATTAGATTAGGTTAGTAAAGTTAGCTTTGTTATATATAGAAAGAAAGGGTGTTAACAGGATTGAAAGTTAATGACAAAGTTACGAAGACATACCTCAACAAGCACTTTGTTTAATTCCATCTGGGCAATAGTCCGGCCAAGACACTTATACCGGCCTGATCCCCAAAGGGTCTCTATGACGCCCTCCATCATCTTGAAAGTGCTCTCGTCGGCCTCAAGCCACCTCTCAGGCCGGAAGACGTCCGCGTCGTCGCCCCAGTACTTCTTCGCTCGCATAACGCCCAGGACGTTGTGGCCGACTTCAGTACCCTCGGGGACAAAGTACCCACTGATGGTGTCGCCTCCCTTGGGCACTTTCTTAAAGAACGTGGCTGTTACGACGGGGAATGTACGAAGACCTTCTTTGATGACGGCTTGTAGGTACGGTAGCTGTCGGGATTCGGTGTCCTTAATAGGCGAGCTGACGTTTCCTTTCATGATTGCGTCGTCTATCTCCGCCTTGAGCTTGTTGTATGCCATCGGATTGGCGACGAGGAGTAGGAGAGTCATGCGGATACCCGTGGCAGTCGAGTCTGTTCCAGCAACACTATTATGACATTGTTAGTTCTAATAATCTTTGATTGAGCCTTGTTACCAGAAATACTTACACCTGCAGCATCAATTCGTTGATAGCTTCTTCCTTGGTAACGCCTTGCTCGAGAAACGAGGCAAGGGCATCTTTTCGCCGGTCCTGGCCGTCACTTAAGCTCTTTTCAACCGCAGCTTGTGCGAGTCTAACTCGAGTGTTAGTAAAAGACTCTTATACAGTTGTGGAGAATATGTTTAGACTTACGCCATGTACTTGCCAACGCCATCAACATCGCGGGTTGACGGGTAAATCTTATTAAAAGGGGGCTTGAAGAAAATCTTGGTTAACCAGTGGAAGTTCGATATCACAATAGCGGTGGAAAAGAAATCCTCGTTCCACTTTACGAATTTATGGACATCCGTTCCCTCGTCTAAGCATCCGAACGGCCGGCCGTACGATAGATCGCCTACGCAGTCCATCGCGAAGAAAATGGACGCCGCTGTTAGGTTTAGTGGTCGGTACTCGCTTGAGGTTGAGATAAACTTGCGTTCGATTAAGTCTACCAATCGCGCACATTGTCGATCAACACAGGCTTCTACGTGTGCGTTGCCCATGTAGCCGGGGCCGAGGTTTGTTCGGCGGCGGGTGTGCTCCTCGTCGTTGAGAAGCGAGAAAGAGTTGTCTTGTGTAGGGTTGAACCTAAACGTCTGGTAGAATGGTGCTCTTGCATAGGCTGACTTGGGATGGGCCATTCGTCGAATAATATCTACATCAGTAGTCATAAGCTGGTTTGGACCGATCCGGAAGAGGTCGCCTGCGAATGTTAGTAAAATAAATAAATAAATAAGGGGGAAAGGATGGCTGCTTAGGTATCTAAGCTGTGATATATAAAAAAACATACCATATTGATCCCCAAGTTTTCTCAGTTCAAGGTACCATTTCCCTCTTATCTGTGTTGTAATTTGCCAAAGCTTGGTAGAGCAGATCCAGAATGGGCCGGGGATATGTCGGAGTCGATACCAGTTCCAGAGAATGCAAGTAGTCCAGACCCCGAGGAGACATGTTAGAGCCGTATATGTTGTCAAAGACATAGTTAAAATACCTGAATATTAGTGAGCTATTTCAAGTTAGTAGCGAATATTAGATATCTGTTACACTGGCAGCGTTATTAAAAAGCCAGACATGTCTTGTAGGAAGTTATATTAGAATTTATATAAAAAGCCTTTCTTTGTCTTCGCGGACAATAGCACACAACAGCTCAAGATACAGGGGGAACACCGTCGTAGTTTGCGAACAGATGGCTTGAATAGTTGACCGAGTGGTTACCCAAGTTCTTAAACTACCATATTGTTCCATTACAGTCACGACCGTCGTTTCGAGTCTGTATCTCGCTAGGGCTGAGACAACGAGGAGTGTGAATAGCTTGGGTGGCGTAAGCGGTAGTATATGAGGCGGTGTGCATGGCGATAACTCGAGCTTCCATAGCTTACCGCACGACGTCCTATCAGCAACCCTTCTCGTAGGCACGAGGGTCGTTTTCGTGTACTTGCTACCCCATGTAGACTTCTACCAACGCCACTGGCTAGGTTTCTTGCCAGGCAAGTGAAGAACATGATTCACCTCTGTAGTACATAATCGTTCATGGCACTTCTCTTTATCTTAGTGTGGCATTGGAGACGCTTAAACGGTACAGCAGGAGGATTCAACGTAGCTAGGTTATGAGGAGGCTTCTATGTCACCTCTAGGTATATTAAGCCTTGGCTTGCTATTATAGGGGTTATTTTTTGAATAGTATCTGCAAGATTAGGCAGGTCTATGGGAAGTTCCGTATTTATAAAGTTCCTGTAAATTACTTTGAAGGTTACTTATACGAGCCTATGGATATATTTGGTAGCCTGGGTTGATATTAACATGTCGCCGGTACTCCTATTTCAAAATAATACCGTAGAAAAGCGCATTGTGTTTCCCAAGGTCTACTTCCCAAAACGAGGGGGACAAGTCCTCTTTACTAGTCATGTATATCAACTGACGTGCGAAGGAAAAGGAGGTGTGATAAGATCATGTAGTGTAAAGCCTTGTGTATGGGCCAGTACAGAAATCATATAAGCTTGGCAAGGTTCAAGGATATTTAAAGAGACACGGACTCAACCTTCTACGGATGTATCCCGTTACACTACACGAGGCCCAATCCACACTGCACAAGCCTCGTGGTTCAGTGTCACGAAGTGGGATTGGCTTGGGGAAGCCGTCGAGAGGATCGCCCAGCTTTGACACGAAACCACCACATCCCGAAGTCACATCTCTCAGGGCTTTATGATGATGCACTCGTAGTCAGCTTGTAGTACTTGATGAGGGCTAGCTGGAACATAGCAGAGCCGTATTTTTAATATTATCAGTAAGGAGACCGACCATACGGGTGGGTATATAACCAAAATTATCAGGATTCTTCTTTTCCACTAGCGTCCACCGGGGGCTCGCTTGTCTCCGAGATGATATTCGGAGAGTAAAATGGTTGCGTCACTTTAACTACGATTGGCTTTTGTAGATGCAGGCATCCGGCTTCCCCCATTCTAGTATTATTTACGAGGTCCTATAGAGCAACCCGGACTTACGGCATAGTATCTCGACGAGGCGGCGTAGGAGTTATGCCGTCTTCACTAATCAACCTTGCCTAAAGGCGTATGCAAATGCGGCCGCTATTATCGGCCCGCTCCTATTGATGCCTTCCGAGATGCCCGAACGAAAAGGGGCGGAAAGGTAGGTAATGTAGGATCCCAAATAAAGATACGATATACTACGTGATATTTTTTTCACCGTTACGCGCCGCATTCGGGCTTGACGGTCATCAAACTGGAATCGGGTGTCTGGCCCAAGGGTTCAGGGGTAGGGGGATCTTCAACAACTGAACCTCCGAGCATGTACGAGCACCCCCTAAGAGAGATAGAGACCTACTCAAGCGCAGTTCCATGACGAGCTAACTGCCTTACCAAGGTATTGCGTGGAGCGCAGATCGTACCTACATGGGTCTATATGCGTTGGATGCAATTAATATCGCCAAGCGAGATCAGGTATCCTTTGATGTCAGATTAGACTGATCTGTACTCCCCTCGTGTGCGACCACTACCGAGATCTGGGGAATGCCTTATTCCCCCTTGCTTTTACGGGGTCTACGTATTCCATTGTTAATCTACCTACATATACCAGCTGGTTCGTTTTCTTCGAGATCCTGCAATTACCAGAGGCGCTACCCTACCCCTCGCCTCCCATGGGACGAAGACACGATCCGACCTGCAACCACCCGATACGAACTGGCTCTGCCGCTTAGGCACCTAACCTATATAAAAGCCAGCGCCGGAGCTACTTGATAGCGTCGTAAGAGTGACGTTTGAGATGATATAATCGTGGTTCAGGAGTACGAATCCGAGCAGATGGATCAGCCATGCTGCGCGCACATATCACATATCACATATCACATATCACATTATTATCTCGGACAGGCACATCAACATTAGATACCCGAGGAATAACTTCAACACTAAATAATCATGTGCCCGCGATTAATAAATACCTAAAGAACACCAATGCGCTTGGAAACCTATCGCTATTCGCAGGCTGGCTTTAAAACATACCAAAATGACGTATCGTCGTCGCGGCCACCATCACTTTGCGTTTTGAAATGCCTGACGAACGATAGGTCTCTAACTACTGGATAATTAACTACTCGATTTAAAAGACTCTAGTTTACTATAATAACCATGACCAGGTGTATTACGATTGCCAAATACGCAAGATAAACGGAGAAAGTGTGAATGTTTACGTCAATAGACTTATCACAGTTATTTTTCTTTAAGGTATTAGTTATAGGGTTTGTAAATTGACGATGTAGTTATTCCTTTTTCCTTGTCCTTTTGGTCCCTAGCATACATGCACCAGTCAACCTATCAGTATGCCAGTGCCTTTATTTCCTTATACATAATAAATACCGATAACTACACCAACCACCATACAGAGTATTTTTAGAAACAGGACGCAACGATAATCGCCGTATTGCAGGCTACGTACACTGTTCAACAATACCTTTCGAGATCATGATTTATATACATACCTATATTAATCACTATCCTCACCCTCAGCCACGAATTCGTCATCCTGCTCACTGTCCTCGTCGGAAGATACCGCAAGCTTCCTTCGAGTCCGCCTTCGCGTAGGCTGCTTCGGTTTCGCTTTCGGCTTCGGAGCAGCCTTTTTAGGCGCTACTTTAGCTAAAACTTCCGGTTCGGGGGAACCCTCGATAGGAGAATCTTCTGTCTCCTTCTGCTTCCCGTAGTCCACTTCAAAAGGATCATTCCCGTCATCTGAATCTTCTTCCTCATCACCACCTGGGAAAAACCCAGAGGTTTGACGAGGAGCTTCTTTCTCTTCGACTCCCTCTTCTTCTTCATACCCCTCAGGTAAGAACCCGCCGGCCATGTCTTCGTCCTTTTCACGCATGGCCTCGAAGTCTTTGTCGTTGTCGGGAGCGTGGCCAAATACCTCTACCGACTCATCCAGATAGCCATAATCTTGCTTGAACCTCTCTGCGATTCGCAAACCCATCAAGAACCTCCGCCATGTATATAGAACCTCCTTACGCCGTTTCTCGTTTTCTTTCCTCGCCCGTTCTGCCTCATCTTTCTCAAGTTGTTCCATTACACGCTCATAGTTTTCCTCGGCAATGACTACGCCTTGGATAACTAAGAATGACAATTAGTAATCATCCTATTGGGTTATACACCAAGTAGGTAAGTGACGTACCGGGCACAGCCATCCGATGACCAAATTCGAACCCAACAACTGCCTCCGCATAATCAACTTCCAATCGCTTGCAGACGCGAACAACGCCGCGGTATGGGACGTGAATAGCACCTATATATTAGTCAATTATAGGACTCAAAATATTATACTGAATGATTTACCTTCTGGACACATGTGCTCTGCAAACATATCGATGTTCCTACGTTATTATTAGCCTTAGCCACGTCATAATCCAAGTGATTGATATACCCATATTCGTTCTTCGGAATGATGCCATTCTGAATAGGGGGAGGTATTATCCAATCCGTCTGGTCAAAACTATATAGGGGTTGCATGACTTTCTGGCCTGTTGCCCTTTCAGCCTCGGCAATTTCCCTTCGTCTATTGGTAGTTGCCGCTCTATAAGGAGCATGCTTGAGTGGTTGGACGCCTTCGATAGGAGCTCGGCCTTGCTTATGCCAGGTCTCGGCACTCTTCACTGTCACCACATCCTTTCGCAGGTATACGTTTTCCTCTTCAACTTTGGATGCCTTGCCTTTGTTGCGGAATACCTTGACAGGGACAGCATCGGGTAGAAGAGCCTCTTCGCGTTTGAGATGACGTTCCAATACGTATTCCTTTGAAGTCTTATAGTACTGTAATGTCTCTTCTCCTTCCTTAACTTCCTTCTTCTCTGGCTTTGCCGGCATGAGGTCAGTGGAGTCTTCTGCCTCGTCTACTTCTGTGGTTGGGTGTTTCTTGTCACCCCGTGTATAACCTCGCATAACTGATTTAAACCAATCAAACTGGTCGTACCTCTTGACCTTGCCATGTTTGTTGTAAACTGGTATTTTCTCTTCAACCATCCTGAACCCTTTCGTTTTACCAGGGAAAATATTTTTCTTGAGGTACCGTACTGTAACATCCTTGGCCGTGCCGTCTTGAGAAAACCCAATACAATAAGCCATAACTTGTTTCGCTTTGTCGGCTTTACCTCCTCGTGGTTCCAGGGTTTCGACCAGGTCTCTACTGTTAGCCACAAGAGATTTTACGATCGGATCTACCGGAAGAAACTCCTTCGTTACCGGAGAAAGAACCTCAGTCCAATAATGAGGAAATTCAAGGTCCTTATCATAAACTTTTGCTTCTGCTCGCCTTGGACGAACAGTGTTTGTGACATCAACTACCGACGAGTCGTCAGTACTTTCATCTGTGAGCGGATCGCCATATTCATCCGAATCATCCAAGTCCATCTTTAGGGCGTTTTTGTCATTCTTCTTTGCTCGACGGGTTGCTGGTTTCACTTGTTTCTTCTTTCCGCTCGGTTTCTTTGGCGTAGGTTCGTTAGGCGTACTCGTACCATCCTGGATTTTTTGAGCATTGATTTCAGCATCCGCTTCTTCAACCCTACTCCAGCCAAATCCCAGCGGTTGGAGATTTGCCACCATTCGTGCTTCTAGTCCAAGACCTCTTAATAGCGCAGTGAAGAGTTGAGCTCCGACGTCGCGACTGCCAGTACAATCCTGAGCACGCTGTCTGAACTCCTCGAGATCCTTAATCCGTTCCCCAAACCGAATCGAATCGTGGCCTTCTGTTTCGAAGCTCGAAGTTAGTTTTCCTAGTCTTCTGGCGTTCATGTAACCGACTTTGCGCAATCCAGGACTAATTATTCGAAACCTTTGTTTCCACCATGACACGAGACATTTCATAAGTCTTAGTAAAGGGTCGCCATGGCTCATGTCAGGCACGCCTTTCTCGAGCCTGTCTGCTGCATTGCTCCAATTTCTCGTCGATCCTGAAGCCCGTTGCTTCCCCTTCCCCTTTCCTTTTGTATCAGCTTTACCCTTGGTAGGTTTCTTTGGGGTGTCTTCGGGTATATCTAAACCACTGTTTCGTCTCCAGCGATCCACCTCGTCCCATAACCTCGGGGGCAAATGCGAGATCATGATAGCTTGAACCTCTCTATCACAAAGCCAGGAATTCCGGATCGCATTATGCCAGAGTAGCAGTTGAACATGCATACAGTGTATTGAAATACGAATGGCCTTTTCCTTTTTTGAGGGACCTTTCTTACCCATTTCGCTAGTTAATGGAAGTTCGTTTTCTCGGTTCAATGTCAATTCCAGATCACCCCCCAAATCCGGATCCGGATCCTGATGCTGAATCTCATGGGAAGGGACATCTTCAAATTCCATATCCTCGTCTTCCGACTCCTCCGGATCATGATTCACCTTCTGCCGCTTAGAAGCCGGCACATCCTCAAAATCAGCATCTGAAAGAGAAGTGAGGGAACTATCATCACTGTCATCGTTATCTTCATGCATTTGCTGTATAACCGACTTAGTCTTTTCAGCGGAACCCTTCTTAGCGCTTGAATCTAGATCGTCGAATAGAGTATTCTTGCGAGGCGGCACGGATGCTATCGGCGTGCTTTTATCCCTACTTGATTCCTTTGTAACCCGATTGCCGCGGTCTGCTGGCGGGGTGCGCAATCGCTTGCGCGGTACGTACGGAGGCATCTTGATGATAACATTAAGAAGGTAAGTTAGTATTAAACCGGACTTTGTATATATTTTACGATATCACGGCACCTTGCTAAGTAAGACAGAACATTGTAGGTACGAATTAATTGTCGTCATCGAAATGCGCCGAAGACGCGAAACCCCGTGACTTATGTATAACTAATGGCTCTTTAAAGTTCAATTAAACCTTAACTAGGACTTGTTAGTGGACCCCGGCAGCCCGGGCAGCAAAGGCTAGCTGGCTATGGCTAGGCTGCTAGGTACCCAAACTCTAGCGTAAGCTCCCACCTAATTCAGCCGCAGCGCATTTATGTAGTGTATAGCCCCGCCCCTAACTTGACTAAAATCGGCCTCTCTCAACTCACAGCCCCTTCCAGACTATTCCGCGGCATCTTAATCATCAGCCTCGCCATCTTCGAGGCTTACGAGTCGCCATCTGCCTACAGTCATTCATTTTTCTGATTTTTTTTATTTAGCTTTTTATCTTTTTATATTAAACATAGGAAAAGTACATAAGAAGATCTCGTTACCAACTTTTTAAAAAATGGCGTCCTCATCAGCCGAAGCTGAAGATACCAGCTACGTCAAAATGGATAAAGAAGCCGACGTATCGCTTGTCGGCAAGCACTGCCAACTCGAATACTGCAACCAGCTCGATTTCCTACCCTTCTTTTGCCAGAGCTGCAAGAAGACATTCTGCCTCGATCATCGAAGCGAGACCTCTCACAAATGCGCTAACGCCGGAGCCTGGGCCGAACGACGACGCCAAGCTCAGTTGGCAAAACCCTCCGTGGGCGAGGGGAAGCGCTTGCGCGACCTCGTTTCGCAGAAGCCATGCGCCGCGACGGACTGCAAAACTGTCGTCGGCACATCTCTAGTCCCCGGCGTTCACTGCTCGACATGCAATCGCGATTACTGTCTTAAGCACCGGCTAAAGGAGGAGCACGACTGCAAAAATAAAATCCCTATCGGCGCGCGCCCCCAGCTCGACGTCTCCGAACAAACGAAGTCCGCATTCGCAAAGTTGAAGGCCTGGGGCGCTGCTAAGAGGGAGGTAGCGAGTCGTGCGCTTCCGAAGCCCAAGCCTACGTCGGCATCAGCGCGACTCGTCGCCGTCAATAACCTGAAGAAGGTCGCTAAGGGGGACGCGAAGTTGCCACCTGAAAAGAGGGTATACCTATATGTGGAAGCAGAGGCCGAGACTACGACAGCCAAAAACTACAAGGGAGAGTTTTTCTTTTCGAAGGATTGGGTCATTGGCAGAGTACTGGATGCCGCGGCCAAGAGTCTACAAATCGAGAACGTCAACAATCAGTCTTCCGAGGAGAGGGATAAGCTTCGGGTATTCCACGTCGAAGGAGGGCGGGTATTGGAGTTCAACGAAAAGGTTGGCTCCGCGCTCGTGAGCGGTAACACGATAGTGTTATTGCGAGGTATAGGGCCACCGCCTGATCTTATCGAGATGTAAACCTGGCCTTACGAATTACGACTTATTGCATTTGAAACGGCGTTTCTATAATTGCATCTTGAGCGGAATAGGGATACCTCAGACATTGGGAGCAGAGCATCTGATTTGTATTTATAGATTTGTTATATAGACACAGCTCGCTCTGAAGCGCAATGAGGTATATATTGCATTCCGTGGTGATCCCCCATCACCCCTAACTCAGGCTTTGTAGTGATATCAAAACATGTCTCCAAAGAGTGGAGACGCCTCTCTTTACGCCATATATGCTTAGTTTATCTTTTATTTTAGTATTCGTTTTCCTACAATTCCTTTTCCTTCGACTGCGCATTTGGCCTCTGTGCCAAGGCGGCTTCTCGTCCTGTCGTCGGAGATTCGCCAACGTACTTATGGCCACCGTATGCTTCAAAACCCTTGTGGAACATCCATTCAACAGCATTTTCGACCGGCTTATCGAAAAGCGTCGGTAAGAACGGTACAATAGAGAGACCGAGTCCTATGGGACCCCATACTCTGATTGTTTGATTCTTAACATTCCTCAACGCCCTCCCCGAGTATTTGACAACACTGTGGATCGTGAAGGCGGGTAGTCCCATCGAAGCGAGACTCTGGAAGAGAGCTCGTTGGACCATAACGGTGCGGTAATCTTCCAAAGGCGACACGGGTTCGGGCTTAGCGTCAGGAGGTGGCGTTGGCGGTAAACCAGTGATTTTCTGCTGCTTTTCTGACAGCACTATCTGCGGGTTTTTCTTCCGCTGGTTGTGCAAGTAGGCCTTATATCCTTCGTACGAGACATCGCCTAAGATATACGCCCACGATATACCATATGCGGTTCTGACTAGCCACGGATGTGCGACTGGCCTGAAGGACTCTCCTATATCCGAAGTATATGCCACATAACGATGGGCCGAGAGCATAATAGTTCGTAGTCTGTTTGCGTAGGCGGCATATCGCACGTTGGACTCGGTAGAGTCATGTGCACTAAGCAATAATACATTAGCCCAACAGCACATCAACTAGATTTATATCATGCGCCACATACTATCCTTCTCGGAGATCGTCAAAGAAATTTTCATCTTTGTCGGCCTTATCTACGATCTTCTGTAAGTCCTTTGGCAGCTTGCGCCGCGTTGGGAGCTTATCGGGATCGAACTCGTTGACATCGCTGCGCGAGCTGGTGTTGGCTGCTGCGGATGGCGGGGCTTCTGGTTTCTTATCTTTCGCAGCTTCAGTTTTGTCCGGTCCTTTACTCCAGAACATCGTGGCTACAAACCAAGGGAAGCGATAGATTATAATATATATCTAGGTAGGACTAGTTATTTGAGGTAATAATTCGCGGTCGCAACCCAATATCAAAGTTTCGCAAGAATGGGGCCTAGCATACTTAAATATGACCTAAATCGGGAAAGTGTGGAAGCTTATCGACACTCTTGGTGACGTCGCTACCTATCGGGATTCGAACGGCCTTGCTTCGTTACCCCCGGCTCAAATCTTGTTCGCTGCGAGATCCGTTTGCCCAGGCCGGGGTTTGTCCGGGATGTTTTTAATGGATAAACTTCGGCATCAAGGGTGCATCCTCTGACGAATAAAACAAAGCGCCTGAAGACCCATTAAGGCTAACGTCTCTAAGTTAGATCAGATTTGGGGATTTCAACTTCGGAGCTTCTGAGCAGTATTTTGACGGTTAACATACAAATACCTTTTCGACACTTACGCCCTCGTCGACTCACATCGGAAACCTCCCTGTATCCATTCGCCCGCGGTCAATTCGTCAATACCGTCACAATGGTTGCCACATACAATATCCTCGGCCGCCAGATCGGCTCCCATTACGTACGTCGCAATATGTCTCTGCTACGGTCGACATCAACATGCTAATTATCTTGTCCTCTTTAGCTCGCAATGGGCGTTCTCGCTACCCTATTCACCGGCAGCTACTTGGGAATTAAGGGTGCAAGCAAGAAGACTACTCAGACCCCTCCCATCAACGCATCAAGCCCTGACGAGGCCGATTTCATCCAGTGCGCTATCCCGGATATCCCGCGACGAACCATTGCTAACTGACGATTATAGGAACTTTTTGAAACAAGCCGATGCGAACGAGAAGGAAGCGAAGCATTAGATTTGATCGGATAATCCAACCGGTCCGGGTCTTAGTCAATTGTACATAATAGATGCGGTTACAATGAAAAACAGGTAACCCGAGAGGGAACTTTGAAATCACCCGAGGTTCTGTTACTATTATATATATAAAGTCTCCATGTGACATTTCCAAAGCGCGTAGGACCTGTGAACGGCATGCGCAAAATTCAGCGTCATTGAATCATCGATCATAACGTCCCTCTCTCGCTCTGGAAGAGTTAAACGTAACGATTCTGAAACTTTCAGCAAGCGAGAGTTGAGAACATATATACCAAGGCTCAACCTACCGCCCCAGCATGTGTTGACTATCATGGACATTTTGAAGCCAGTAATGAAGCTATTCACTACATATCACTTCATATTAATAAACCAGAATTAACCGTACTACGATCTAGCATCATCTTCCGGCCGAGGTTGGAAGTTTGCTTCGTAACCATTAAGGAAGTCGAACTTAGAAGTAACGGAAAATGCTAGATACAACCGGTACGACCTAAATACCCGTCGTCACTATCAGACAAGACATCATCGTAGGTTTTCAATGTGTATCATCCCGCTGGAAACTACAACATTCAACCATTCATTGTAGGTTAGCTTCAGCGCAAGAGCTTTGCTAAGCATGTGAGCCATTATCCTCTACCATATATTCCTAGAGAATTTCCAAACGATTGCGCATAGTTTACCAGAGCCGAATCTTAAGCGTATTGTTATTGGAAAATATACTTCTAACTTTCCACTGGTTCGCAACTCAGCGTTCGATTATAGTCTCTTGCTCAAGTCAAGATACGACACTCCGAACATACTGGTGCGTGACATAGCCTATACGTAACGAGCCGGAAAGAGACATGATTGATGTTGTGCGATGATATGATGGGGCAGCCACGAAGGCGTAAATGTATGTAAATCTGTAATGCTACTTGGTCGAGATCATAGACTACCTAGTTATTTAACAACGTCACTACTACCAATATCTATACCTATTTATACAATTAGGTGTATGTCTTCCTTGTTATCTGATATCTCTCTTAGACTTCAGTGTCGAACTCTTCCTAATTATATTGCATCTACTTCTATGTCTTTGACCTTCAAGTCTTATATATTTAATTAGTACTGCCACAATTTTTTCAACCAATCAGATACTTAGAATCGCCCCGCAGTTTGCGACTTTTCCCTTTGCTATTTTATCGCATAACGTCTGCAAGAGGTGCAAATGGTATAGAAAGGTCATGCAAAACGAGCTCTATTTAACGATACTAATTATTAAAACTTTTATACGCTTTTGGAATAGGTTAATTGATTTTACAAAAAATTCATCGGACGTGCACTGAGGTGTGGCTAGCCAATCAGAGGCCAGACTTTAGCTGTGGCGTCAGTTTTGCGCATCAGGTGATCCCCCCCTTCTCCCCCGTCCGCGGTTGCGCGGACGGGCAACGCCGCTAGTACCTATTCATCGTGTAAGACAAAGATAAATTAAATACTATTGTTTGATGTGTTGGTCGGAGATATGCTTATAGCAAGCTAATTCTAGTATAATAGGAGGTACTCTTCTTTGTCCACGGCCTTGAATTGTATTTCTCCTGTTTTCCAGTAGAATTTTACACCTTCTGTACAATATATTTGAGTTACAAACCGGGACCTCGGAATGTTACAGGGTTACATAACGCTAATAAGAGATAGCGTTACGCTAATATGTAAGGCGGCATGGATGGCCAACCCCACATATACATACTATGTAAGCTTTATCGCTTATCTCCAATCCCCGCGAAGCAGTTGCTTATTGCCGGACCTTTGCATCATATAATTCATATTATTCATATTATTGAAGCTCCGGGATTCAACTCAAAGTAGCGGTTGGGCTTCTCAGATCTTGCCATGTTGTAGCCCATGCGAACGATGCGAATTTTGTGACAATGGCATACATAGCGCCTATTCACCGGCCTAACAGTGTGCGACATGCACTGCGTGTCAACCTGTTCCCTGGTGAGGATGAGTGCTTGATTCTTGCGTGAGTCTGCCTAAGCAAATATATAGCATATTGGCTATGTGAAAGCTGACTTTTACTAGCAAAACTAATCGTCTAGAAATATGGAAGCTCCACGAGTCTGGCACCTTGGTGCACACCGACACGAGACGAGTGAACGGTACCATCTCCATACTACAGAAGCTCCAACCTCGAGATACCAAGACCGAATTGGTCTTTATTGGAACTGATAGATTTCATTACTTCACCTTCGGTTGGAATACTACAAGTAAAAGATTAGAAACAGTAGATTCGTTCTTCGACATTCATGAGAAGCACATGCGTGATGCTCAGAGCCAGGATATGTGTGTAGTGGACCCGACAGGGCGGTTTATGGTAACCTTTCTTTGGGAAGGAGTAATTAATGTGTTGCGAATGCACACTGTAAAGAGCAAGAGGCAGAACCTTCACTGGATGGATCAGGTCCGTGTATCGGAGCTTTACATTAAAGGCGCAACCTTTTTACATGTTGAAACTGGCCACCCAAAGATCGCATTCCTCTACCAAACCCGAACCGATATCCCCGACTCTCAGCTCGTCACATATCGTCTGACAGCCGATGACAAGAACACAGAGGTTTCTAGGTTCGAAGTCCGAGACCAGGTCGACCGTATAGATATCCCAGATCCTGGCGCGAGAATCTTGATCCCGGTTGGTAAAGGCGAAGAGGACCAAAAGCGCTACATAATACGAAATGCCTCTACCGCCCGGGCTCAACTCGGCGGGCTAATTGTTGTTGGGGAGACTAGGTTACTATATTACGATGATGCCGCGAAGAAGAAGGTTGAAACTCCGTTGAAGGAATCGTCCATCTTCGTAGCTTGGACCGAATACGATGTTTCACATTACCTAATTGGAGACGACTATGGAGCCATGTGGCTTCTCGAGATTCTGCTCGACGGGCCTGTGGTAACCGGCTTGGAAATGACCAAGATCGGAGAGACTTCGAGGGCACAAACCCTCGTCTACGTGGGGGATAATGTCTTGTTCGTCGGATCTCAGTACGGAGACTCGCAAGTTTTCCATGTCGACCTCGAAGCGAAGTCGCTACGTTTAATTCAGACTTTGAACAATATTGCTCCGATCTTGGACCTCAATATTATGGATTTGGGAAATCGCGAAGGGGAGGGGCAGACTACTAACGAATATTCCTCTGGCCAAGCGAGAATTGTTACCGGTAGTGGCGCTCACAAGGATGGGAGCTTACGTAGTGTACGAAGCGGCGTTGGGTTGGATGACATCGGTGTCCTCCCCGATATGGAAAACGTTCGATCTTTGTTTCCCCTTAAATCCCACGGGGCGTCCAAGACTGATATCTTGGTTGTTTCGTTCTTAACGGAAACTCGAATATTCAAGTTTACGCCTGGCGCCGAGGTTGAAGAACTAGACGAATTCGGAGGAATGATATTTGACGAGCAGACCTTGTTGGCCCGAAATATCACAAATGGTCGAATACTCCAGGTCACTACGACTAGCGCACTGCTTGTGGATTTGGCGAGTGGCGTCGTTGTATCTACCTGGAAACCCGCCGAAGGGCACATAACAAACGTATCAGCAAGTGACGAGTGGATCCTGCTCTCCGTTAACGGGTCGGCTCTTTTATCCATACGAATAGAACAAGACCTGGTCCGAGTCGAGTACAACGATCTAGAAGATAAAGATCAAGTTGCGTGTGTACACCTACCTCCGGATTATCCTTCTATTGGTGTTGTCGGCTTCTGGAAATCGGGCATGATATCCATTATTGATCTAAAGACACTACAATCTATCCACGGAGAGAACTTGCGGCGAAAAGATAATAACGCTTCTATACCGCGGGACATCGTTCTCGCACAAGTTCTTCCCTCACACCTAGCTGGACCAACGTTGTTCATAGCCATGGAGGATGGTTTTGTTATCACCTTCAACGTATCCAAGGTAGACTTTTCTCTATCTGGGCGGAAGAGCGTTGTTTTAGGGACACGACAAGCAGGATTGCAATTGATCCCTCGGATCGAGGGAATCTACAACGTATTCGCCACAAGTGAGCATCCCAGTATGATTTACGCGGCCGAAGGCAGAATAGTCTATTCAGCAGTCACGGCCGACGATGCGACCTGTG